CGCCTCCGCCCTCGCCTCAGCCCTCGCCTCAGCCCTCGCCTCAGCCCTCGCCTCAGCCCTCGCCTCAGTCCTTGCCTCCGCCTTCGCCTCCGCCTTCGCCTTCGCCTCCGCCATCGGCTGCGCCCTAGCCTCCGCCCTCGCCATTATCCTCGCCTCCGCCTCTTGCCTTCTCTGTCACTCTCGTCTCCGCCAACGCCTCCACTGTCGTTTCCCTCAGCACCTCCGCCCTCGCCTGCGCTCTCACCTTATCCTTCAGCTTTGTCCTCAACTACTTTCTTAACTTCTCCTTCGCCTCCTCATACTACCTCTTGTTTTGCACGGACACTTCTTTCTCCCTCCAAACAAGTTTCACTGAATCGAAAAAAAAATAGTTTTCTTTTCCTCTGGATGTATTCAAACAATTCCATCACGTGCACGTTCTTGTGCACGTTCTCGAGACCTTTTTGGAGTTCATACCATACAATCTACCGGAACATGAAATCATTTCAACTATCATATTCTCTCCCTCCACTGGTACCACATTTCGGTCAATGAAATTAGTTCTTTTTTTCGGTCGGTCCTATGATGAGCGATCATGAGCACTCTCTCAAATTTTCGTAAAAGGAAATCGAGTACCTACCATTCTCATCTATCAGTTTCTTATAGGGGCTATGTATACCTGAAGGGCTGTCTTTGAAGCAACTGAAGGGTTGGGGGAAAATAGTGCTAATCGTCATTTCATAAATTTAGAAGGTCGCAAAAACAAAAAACAAAAAAAGAATCATGATCGAAACGCTGTACAAAGTGTACGTAGAACTACAGAATGTGTTAGGAAAGTAGCAAGAAAAGTATACAGAAACTAAGACATTCTGAATTAACGAAATCTTTGATTTTCCTCTGGATGACAAAAATCGCAGTAATTTTGCCCCGATCTTCAGCTGTGGCGAGCAGGCCGGGCGGGGGATAGGCTGAATTAGCTCAGAGCCAGTATTGTCGCTGTGTCTCATGAGGTTAGAGTCCCGCCGGTAGTGGGTTTTCGACATTTGATTTTTATGAATCCATTATTGTCTAGGAACGATTAGGGAGTCGTGGATTAGTCATTAATAAGGGGTTAATATATTTAATACGTAAATAGCTAGGTCGAATTGAGTCGCTTTCTGGAGGAGAAGTGTAGTGGTCAGCTATTTATTTTTTCCGGTGGTTTCTCCCATTAATACCAGGCGCGTGCCGGAGCTGTACCCTAAAAATAGGTCACAATCCGCACGCGATCTTTCCTTCCTCTTCCCTGTCCTATCCTTTCACTTCCAAGCACTACACTGCCACACATATCGGGAGTTGACGACTTCTCCCGGTTGAGGAGGTGCCCTGCACTTTAACATACCTGGAGACGGAAATCTTCCGCAAGTCGACGTGCAGGTCGGCGTCGGATCTCACCACGCACCATCTCCAGGCACAGCGAGCGTTAGCGCTGCACCACCGGGGACCGACGGCCGCAGGCGTTGACGTGCGTGCGGGGGGTGTGTGTGTGTGCGCAGGCGCAAGAGGCGGAGACGAGCAAGGAGATGCGGCTGAAGGAGCGCTTCGAGACGGAGCTGGGCGCGGCGCGCGGGGAGCTGGAGCAGCGCGAGCAGGAGATGGCGGCGCTCTCCGACTCGCACGACAAGACCTCCAAGGAGTTCAAGGCGTTGGCGGACAGCTACAAGGAGCTCAGGGTCAGGCGCATTCTCCACCACTATGCTAATTAATCATTGCTTTAGCAAAACAAAAGGGGGTGAAAGCACCAGTAGTGACCAGTTTTGAAGTTTTCACAAATCTTCTGCCATATTCTTCATGTGAATACTCCATAGAAAGAATACCTCTTTCTGAAGCGCATTGAAAAATAAAAAAATAAAAATAAAAGGGGGTAAAAGCATCAGTAGTGGCTAATGTTAACAGTTTTGAAGATTTCACAAATCTTCTGCCATATTCTTCAAGTGAATATTCCATAGAAAGAATACCTCTTTCTGAATATATCTGTTGCCCATAATGGCTAATTTTTAATTTGTGCTATTTTATATTTATTCATTTATTTTCAAAATTCGATATAGATCCAGATCTGGCAACTTGAAAATTGGAAATTTTGGTCAGTTTTTCGATTCAGTAATTCGATATGCAATCTCCTAAACGTGTTTGAGACCCCAAAAGTATCGTATCATGTTATTTAACAACAGAGCGATTATTAATGTTTTCAACCTATTCTTTGCGTATAAAAGCAGGGAAAAGAAACTAATTATCTTATTCATCCCGCCACTAAACGTTCTAAGTTCCACGCTGTAAAAGTTTAGAGTAATGAGCATGTCTCCAATTCTTATTTTTCAAAGGTTGTATTTGAAGTTGCCACTGGTAGTGTCTTTACCCTAATTATAAGAAACATTATATAAAATTAAGAATTGAAAATGTTTCTCATATATTTAAAAGAATAATAAAGCGTTCATAATCTTTGGAATGAATTATAAAGTATATTAAGACCTGTATATTTTTATTGTAAGTGCACCCTAGTAACCTATTTGACTACAAAAGTGCGATAAAAAGGCACATGTGATTTTAAAAAATATTTTGAGTTGTTATTACACTGTTTAAAAAAAATTGTGAATCTTAGTAACCCCGAGAACCGTGAAGTAGTGAACTTCAAACTGCTTTTTCGTGAGGTTGTTGCATTTCCAATTCTATAACATTTTGCACATCATTTAATTCTGGCTTTTCAGGACAAAAGAAGTTGATGAACGATGTGAACTTCCTGAAGCCGGGTCGAACATTCAGGAAGCAGCTACATTGAAATTATTGTTGCTCGAATGTTTTAACGAGAATAAAATACAAAGTTGGTGACGGTGACATTTCGAAAAAATGTGACAAAATTGTAATAATTGTTATGCATAATGCACGAAAAATAAACGAAATATGAGAGCTCGCTATGTCGCTTGAGTGTTGGTGGGGGGGGGGCGGTGTGTGCCATGGTGCGTGTGCAGGTGCAAGCGGACCGCATGCAGCGGGAGAACGAGCTGCTCGCGTCGCGCAACAACCGACTGACGCGCGAGAACACCAACCAGCAGGACGCTCTCAACAACCTGCGCCTCGACATCGAGCAGCGCAAGCGGCTCTTCAAGGTGAGCATGCGCCGGGCTTCACGAGCAGGCACTCTTTGGAGGTGAGCATGCGCTGTTCGCGATGAGTAGGAAGGTCAGCAAAGTGATCAATCGTCCGTCAAGATGAGCATGCGTTCTTCGTGAGCAGGCACTCTTTTAAGGTGAGCATGCGTCGTTTATGCGCAGACACTCTTTTAAGTTGAGCATGCGCTGTTCGCGATGAGTAGGAAAGTCAGCAAGGTGAGCAATCGTCCGTCAAGATGCGTTCTTCGTCACTCTTTTAAGGTGAGCATGCACTCTTCAAGGTCAGCATGCCCTTTCAGCGATACGTAGCTAGGTGAGCAATCGTCCGGGAAGATGAGCATGTGTTCTTTGTCACTTTTAAGGTGAGCATGCTCTTTCCGCTATGCGTAGGAAATTCATCAAGGTGAACAATCGTCCTTCAAGATGAGCATGCATCATTCGTGAGCAGACACTCTTTTAAGGTGAGCATGCGCTGTTTGCGATGAGTAGGAAAGTCAGCAAGGTGAGCAATCGTCCGGCAAGATGAGCTTGGGTTCTTCATCGCTCTTGTAAGGTGAGCATGCACTCTTCAAGGCAAGCATGCCCTTTCCGCGATGCGTAAGAACTTCTGTAATGTGAGCAATCGTCCTTCAAGATCAGCATGCGTTCTTCGTGAGCAGGCACTCTTTTAAGGTGAGCATGCGCTGTTTGCGATGAGTAGGAAGGTCATCAGGTTGAGCAATCGTCCTTCAAGTTAAACATGAGTTCTTCGTTAGTAGACATCCTTTTAACGTGAACATGCGCTCATTATGGGCATGCGCTCTTGTTGACGAGCGTGAACTTAAGGAGATCATGCGCTCGTGACAACGAGCATATTTTCATTAAAGGTGAGGATGCGTTCTTGTTGAGCATGCCCTCTTTAAGGTGCCCATGTCCACGTAATGTTGAGGCACTTTAAAATGAGCATGCAGTCTTCACGATGGGCACGCGCTTTTGATGGTGGGCATACAGTCAAGGTGATCGTGAACTCATAATAGGCATGCAATTAGGGGGCTTAAAGGGGACAAGCGCATACCCTCTAGTGATAATGTGCTCATGATACTGAGCGTGCACTCTTTGAGGTGGGAAATATAAATAATAAATGAAGTAATGTATACGAAGATATAAATTATTGTGATTTCCCCGTACTTGGATTGGTTACGATTTTACAAATGATCAGGGTTTACACATAATTGTGGGAAAAATACCCTTATTGTACGTTGTATATGACGGCTGTGTGGATAGGCGTGCGCAGCCTACATAAAGAGAGGGCAACTACATTTCTAACCCCCCTATTCCATCAAACGTTTTTACTTATGAATGATATACCGTAGTAGGGAAGTAAATACAAAATTCAGCAAGGAGAATTAAACTATAACTTTAATGATAAAATGTAACGCATTTTTAACCACTTATTAAATGTTGAACCATTTATAGCGTATGCAAGACGGCGTTAGAGGGTCTTCGCGAAAGATTGTAAGGCAATTTGTAAAATTGTTCCGGTAAAAATCAGAGATAGAGCATGTTCACGAAAATAAAGGGCTTCGGGCTTCGGGAAAAGCTTCGGGCCACGTGGTGCGAGGGGAGGGCGCGAGCGTGACGGCGGCGCGCGTCGGCGGTCGCAGATGATGGAGTGGGAGATCCGGCGCCAGAGCAAGGAGGTGGCGCTGTGGCAGCGCCAGCGCGAGGTGGCGTCGCGCAAGGCTGAGGTGGCGGTGGCGGCGCGCTCCGAGGCCGTGCAGGAGGTGGAGCGGCTGCGCAACACCGTCATCAACGGCCTGGAGCACGACCTGCGCCTCGCCACCAACCTCACGCAGACGGACACGCGCACCATCGAGCGCCTCAACCGCGACAAGGACATCCTCTCCAAGTCGTACACGCGCTGCCAAGGCACGTGCGCCCGGCGGGCTCGCAGGCCGCCACTCTCGCTGGGGCGCGTTCAGCCGCTGGCCGCGGGAGAAGTCTAGCCACCAGCCGCTCTGGTCGGGCGACACCAGTCGAATGCCGGGGCAGTACACTAGCAAACGGGCCACCAGCCGCGCGTGACATCTTTCCTTCCCGTTTCCTCACTCCTTACTTACACACGCTTGCTCTCTCATGCACTACGCTTATCACTTTTGTCGGGAGACTAAAGCTTGACCCGGCTGGGGCGGTACCACGCTGGTGGGAGATACCTGCTCGGGGAAAATGTTCCATTTTTTTTGTCGTCAGTCGAGAAATTCTGATAATCTGAATCGCCTTTACTGTATAATAAATGGAGACGAAAAGTAATTTATTACTGAAGTGACTTATAAACATCACTTTCGTCTTTGTTATTGTTATTTAATATTATTTGTTGCAGTATTTATTTTCGCAATAAATATCTATTTTTCTGCTTATTTTCAAGAGGTAAAGGCGGGGTAACTGATACTTTCTTGGAAATTCCCTAATATATTCATATTACCGAAAATAAGAGTACATCATAATTATATAAAGAATACGTGACTTTTTTCACTTTATGACACTCTCAAAATATTCCTCAATGGCACTGCTCATTTGTCGCACCACATGGCGGCCAGCGACGTCTGGCCTGGCCTGGGCTTGCCTAAGCTTGGACGTGAAACGTTTGTGAGTGTACTGTTCCGGCATTCGCCTGGTGTTGATCGGAGAAACCATGGAAAACTACCGATCAGCGCCGCTGCCCGATATATTTCTCCTTTAGACAACGGCTGAATTCGACATAGCTTTGTAGGTAGCGTAGAAAATCCGGCCGTCGTTGGGACTCCAACCCTAGGATCGGTCAGGGACACTGCAGTGACATCAGTTGATGCCCTGACCCACCCATCTCGATCCGGTTTTGTCCAGTTTCCCTGATCCATTGAGCAAATGCTGAGATGGCCCCTTGTTTTGCTTCTGGACGTAAAAGTAGCTTCACTATGCGCACGTTTTGTTGAACTCTCCTTTTGCTCGTAATGGGAAGAGTAGATAAATTCTCGGCTATCTGGGAGACGCCGCGTCTTTGGCTGGGGTGCCGACGTTTCGCCTGACATGTCGCAGGCTTCTCCAGGGCGGTGACGTCACTGGCCTGAAGAAGCCTGCGACATGTCAGGCGAAACGTCGGCACCCCAGCCAACGACGCGGCGTCTCTCGGATAGCCGAGAATTTATGGATTCGAGCCGCGGAAGCTTACGTATACATCTGGTAAGAGTAGAGGTAAGGGCGAGTTGCTATTTTGTTAGCAATGCAGAAAAATCATACTTGCAATTCGTGTACCGATGCAAATTAGTTTCCTATAACTCAGAAACGAAAATGACTATTTCTCAAATATTGCTAATCTTGCGATTTTTAAAATTTATTTTTATTTATGTTAAACTTTTACTCATCTTTCAACTACTTATAGCTAACATGGCGGGAAGGGATTCTGGAAGTCAAGAAAACGTGCGAAGATAATATTTCCCTTCCTACGTCACATACAGTTTTTACTGTTTCTTTTCCTTTTTTCTTTTTTCTTTCTTTTTGCGACTGGATTAAAATTTAAATGTAAATCACCTTTGGCCGCGTAACCCCTGTGTTCTAACAGTTCTCTTACCGCGCGCGTGCGCCTGGAGGTGCAGGGAGGGGTTCCGCCCGGGTGACGCGCGCGTGCGGCGGTGTGGCGTGCCGCAGAGGTGAGCGCGACAGCCGCCGTGCTGCGGCTGCAGGAGCAGGCGAGCGCGCCTGGCGGACCGACACGGACATGCACGTGGTGTCGGCGCGCCGCCAGCGCAAGCAGCTCAGCAACTGGAGCTGGAGCGCGACAGGTTGACCTTATTTACTTTTGAATTGAATTAATGCTTATTTTGGCGTGGCGAGATTCGGGCCATCAGCGTCCATTTAGGGTGAGGATCTTTTACATGCAGTAAATCTATCACATGGGACAGCGCTTTTACTTCCCCTCCGAAAGGAAAGGTGTACGAAGGATTTTTTCACCCTTAAAAATCGCACGGGTTTGAACGCCGCCAACTGGGTAATACAGTCCGTACGCTAACCCTACACCATCCGCCGCGCGCATACTTGGCTGTCCGGGTGAGCCGCGTCACGGAAGGTGCGACGTTGCGAATCGGCGCATTTTGCGACCTTCTCAGGGCGTAATCCTCCGCGGAAGACCTACGCTCTCACTTGCATGTGACGCAGTGCGCCTTTGC